TGATTTTAGGAAATCATGCATGCTGACAGAATCCTTGTGACTCAAAAATGTCAATGGTTAACCCTCATCCAAGAAATATATTTTCCAGACCTTTTTATATGTTTTAGTATGCTGAGTTAGGATCATTATGACCAAAAATCAAGATTTTTGGATGAGTGGAAGGGTCTCAAACAAATTTTACCAAAACAGTGATTACAGCTTTCAAAACAGAAAACCCTTTCTTAATGTTACACCCCTTTGAAGGAGTTATACTTATTATTTTCCAGTGGTTCATGAATCAGTTTAAAGCTAATACATAAATATAGCTTTTCCAAAAAGAATCACTATATTTGGATGTATATTTTGGGAGTTATGATTGTTTGAACATGCATGTGGAAATCTGTCAAGTCTGGACAGATTGCACACTTATTTTGTAAAAATCAGTTGAACCCCTAAATCACCATATTTTTGGGTGGGGTTAGACTATTTTGAAATATAACACTATAGGCTATACTCCAGAGGAAAATTTTCATGTGTTTTGATGTGTCTTCTATGAGTTATAGATGAACAATGAGACAAAACATTTCTGACCGACCACTGTTGCACACCAAATTTGTTTTGGGTGTTGTGAGGTCATAAGGTCATATTTTCTCATGATTCCACTTGGGTTTGAAAACTAATACACTAAATATTATTAAGGAAAAATATTCATGCTTATTGGGTCAATAMACAACYAKAWATGGTYGTTCCAAACTCATGCAATGAATCTGTCCAGAAGAAAAGTCATTCTTTTATGCAAAAATGGATTTTTATGCATCAAAATTTCCAAAAATGATGATTTTATGGAAGAAGATCACTCTACTATTCAATATTAAAGTAAGAATATATAAAATACACTATTCTTGGTAATATGAAAGAGAACTCAGATTCCATAAGAGACACAAAAATGCAAGATATGAAGGGTTTTTCTTGCTTTTCAAAAGTTCTAGATGGTTAGGTCACGGATTTTCACCATATTAAGAACATTTTTCATGTCTTTGGTGTAAAATCTACTCTTAGAACTTAGAATGAAGAACACCACTTCTTTGCAATCTTAAAAGTATGAAAATGACAAGAAAATGGCACTAAAAGTGCATAAAATGAAACCAAAATACTAACTAGTTCTTACCTTTGATTAAAAGAAGTTGATTTCTTCAAATTTTGTTTCTTGAATTCCCTTTTCTTTTCTATGAAAGGCTGAATTTTGCTTGAAGAAGAAGATGGAGGGAGAGAGTAAGGAGAGGAAAAGTGAGGGAGAGTAAGGAGGTGAAAGGCTGAGAGATAAATGAGAAATGAGTGTTTTGAATTTTTCAAATGTATTTATATGTAGAGGAGGGGGGCCGACCATGTGGTGGGCCTATGGGCCTCCCTTCTATTTTTTTTTTTTGTAAAAACTTAGCCCATAATTTAATTAGTTGGGTACTTCTGTGAGATATTGAGAAAAAGACCCAAATTCCTATTTTATGAGATAAATAAATTTCTTAAATATAATTTTAAGTAAAAAGATATTTAAAATATGTAGACTCTATATTTTATGCAAGTTTTAAAAATTATTTGTAGTGTTTAACATTTTATAAGACGATCCGGTTCATTACAGGTCGAAACAGTGTTTTCTACGCAACCTACCGGGATTTCTAACTACTTGAGTGTTAATGATATTTCTAAAGTGCTATCTAGCTACTAACCTTGGTATTTAAATTTCCGGATGTCACAGCTTCCCCTTGTTAGAGGAATTTCACACCAAAATTTAACTGTTGGCATCACCGATTGGTTCTTTCATATAAATCTGCGGGTAATTATTTTTCATAAAGTCCTCCCTTTCCCAAGTGTACTTGGGTCCATGCATTGAATTCCATCGAACTTTCAGGATCAGAATCTTACTATGTCTCAGATGTTTGACTCTATGGTCGAGGATTTCGATCGGCTCTTCAACGAAGCGTAACCGTTCATTAATTTGAATGTTTTCCAAAGGTAGAACCAAAGTTTTGTCAGTTACACATTTCTTAAGGTTTCATACGTGAAATGAATCATGGATGGCACTAAGCTCTTGAGGCAAGTTTAGTTTGTATGCAACCGGTCCTACTCTTTCGAGTATTTCAAATGGACCAACATACCTTGGGCTAAGTTTTCCTTTTATTTCCGAAGTGCACACCTCCTTTCCATGGAGATACTTTTAAAATGACTTTATCACCCACTTGAAATTCCAACGGTTTCCTACGGTTATCAGCGTAGCTCTTCTGACGATCTCTTGCAGCTTTAAGTCTTTCTTGGATGATCGAGATTTTGTCGGTTGTCTCCTGTATAATGTCAGGTCTAATCAGCTATCTGTCACCAATTTCCAACCAGTTGAGTGGGGATCTACATTTACGCCCATAAAAGGCTTCGTATGGTGCGCATTGGATACTGGTGTGATAGCCATTGTTGTAAGAAAATTCAATCAATAGTAGGTGAGTGTCCCAACTACCTCCAAAGTCTATCACACAGGCTCGTAACATATCCTCTAGCGTTTGGATAGTCCTTTCCGTTTGCCCATCCGTTTGAGGATGATAGGAAGTGCTTAAGTCCAACCTCGTGCCTAGTGCCTTTTGAACTGATTGATTGCCATAATCATGAAGTAAAACCGCTATCTCTATATGAGATGATAGAAATAGGTACTCCATGACGCGATACGATTTCATTGATATATAATTGTGCAAACCTTTCTGTACTGAAGTCTTCTTGAACCCGTAAAAAGTGCGCGGATTTCGTAAGCCGATCCACTATGACCCAAATTGAGTCATGTCCTTTCCTAGTCCTAGGTAACTTAGTAACGAGGTCCATTGATATTTGATCCCACTTCTATTAGGGAATCTCTGGTTGCTGAAGAAGACTAGACGGTTTCTGATGCTCAGCTTTTACCCTTGCGCATGTTAAGCACCGGCTTACGTACAAAGCAATGTCCTTCTTCATTCCTGGCCACCAGTAATACTCTCTTAGCTCTTTGTACATCTTATCGGTTCCTGGGTGAATTAAATATCTTGGGCGATGTGCTTCCTCCAAAATTGTTGACCGAAGGCTGTCGTCCTTTGGTATCCAAACTCTATTTCTGAAGTAACGCACCCCATATGCTCGAGTTTCGAATTCCTTCTCTAAATGGTGCAGGGTCTCATTCTTCAGATTCTCCTATTTCAATGCCTCATCTTGAGCTCCAAGAATTTGCGTTTTTAGGTTCGTTTGAATCAGCATCCCCATGGCTCGTACCCTTGACGGTTTTACCCTTTCTTTCTAGCTTGATGCGTCTGCTACCACGTTAGCTTTCCCCGGGTGGTACTTTATTTCACAGTCATAATTGTTGAGAAGTTCAACCCATCTCTGTTGCCTCATGTTCAGCATCTTTTGATCTAGGATATGTTGAAGGCTTTTGTTATCAGTGAAGATGGTGCATTTGGTGCCGTAGAGATAATGTCTCCAAATCTTGAGTGCAAACACCACTGCTCCTAGTTCCAAGTCATGAGTGGTGTAGTTCTTTTCATGAACCTTGAGTTACCTTGATGCATAAGCAATGACCTTGTCTTTTTGCATCAGCACACATCTCAAGCCTTGGTATGACGCATCGTAGTATACCATAAAATTCTTCGTACCTTCTGGTAGTGCTAAGATCGGTGCTTGACATAGCTTATGCTTGAGCAATTGGAATGCTTCTTCTTACTTTTCTCCCTACATGAACTCCTTATCCTTCTGGGTTAATGCCGACAGTGGTTATGTGATCTTGGAGAAATTTGAAATAAAACGGCGATAGTAACCTGCTAAACCGAGAAATTGGCGAATTTCTATCGGGGTCCTTGGGGCTTCCCACTTCTTTATAGCCTCAACTTTGGCCAGAGCAACATGAATTCCCTTCTCATTTACCACATGACCATGGAAGTGCACCTCACGAATCCAAAATTCGCATTTGGAGAACTTGGCATACAATTTTTGATCCCTTAACAGCTCAAGTATCAACTTTAAGTGTTGTTCATGCTCCTCCTTGTTTTGCAAAATAGATCAGTATGTCATCTATGAATACAATCACGAACTTATCCAAATATGGCATGCATACTCTATTCATTAAATCCATGAAAACTGCTGGCGCGTTAGTTAACCCAAAGGGCATAACTAAGAATTCATAATGACCATAACGAGTTCTGAACGCCGTCTTAAGAATATCTACCTCATGGACCCTCATTTGATGGTATCTAGATCAAAGATCGATCTTTGAAATGTAAGTGGCACCTTGGAGTTGATCAAACAAGTCATCGATTCGGGGAAGGGGATATCGGTTCTTGATGGTCAGCTTATTGAGTTCCCTATAATCAATGCACATACGAAGGGATCTGTCTTTCTTTTTAACAAATAGTACTGGAGCTCCCCAGGGTGAAGAGCTAGGTCTGATGAATCCTTTGTCGAGTAGCTCCTTTAGTTGTTTTGACAATTCTTTCATTTTTGATGGTGCCAAACGATAAGGTGATTTGGCTATGGGCGCTGCTCCAAGAATTAAGTCAATGTGGAATTTGACTTGCCGTAACGGGGGTAATCCTGGCAGCTCATCAAGAAATACCTCAGGAAAATCCCGAACTATGGGAAAATCCTGGATGCATTTCTCTTTGATTCCCTTATCCACAATGTAAGCCATAAACGCGACATATTCCTTTTCAAGTATTTCCGCATATTCATACATGTTACTAACTTGAAATTTCTCTGGGACGTCTCTCCGTGCACCACGAGCGTTTCACTTTCTTTTAAAATTCGGATGGTCTTCTCAGAACAACATATCTCAGCTCGATTTTTGGATAGCCAATCCATACCCACAACTACATCAAAGCTTCCTAATCTGATTGGAATAAGGTCTTTGCTAAAGTCTTGTTCGACTTAACGTAAGGTACAATTCGTGATTACGTCTTTAGTCCTAACTTCCGGTGCATTAGCAAACTCGATAACGAAATCTTTTTTCAGCTTTTGCGACTTTAAACTATCCTTGGTCTAAATTCTAGTGACACGAAGCTCCTATCTGCTCCAAAATCAAATAATACGAATGCGTAATGATTGTTCAGGAGGAATGTATCTGTGACTATGTTCGAGTCTTGCCTGGCTTCTTCTGCCCCAATCTCAAACGCTCGACCTCGTGCTTGGCCTCCTTGATTTCCTTGGTTGACTAGTCGTGTTGGGTTAGTAACTAGCCCTCGGTTCAGTCCCGGGCATGCATTCCTATAGTGATCCGGGCATCCGCACTCATGGCATGTTCGTCTCCTTCTGCTCCTGCAATCTTTAGCGAAATTACCTCCTTTGTTGCATCTGAGACAGATGATGCATCTCCGGCCATGGTGATTATTGCACTTGTCACACCTAGGGTAAGCTCCCTTGTATTTTTCTGCTGTCTGTGTCTGAGCCCCAAAGTTTGTTATCACATTTTGGGCCTTACCGCCCCTTTTGTTGTAGTTCTTTCTCACGGGCTCCTCCATTCTTCTCTTACCCTTGACTTTATCATTTGCAAATGATCCTAACTGAATAGCATTGTTGGTGAGTTTTGTCGCTAAGTTCACAGCGTCCTGAAGTGTTTTTGGATTGGCCGAAGTCACATTCCCCCGGATTTCTGGAGCTAAACCGCAGACATAACGGTCAATTCGGTTCTCTTCGGGTGACACCAAGTGTGGCACCAGTTTTGCCAACTCATAAAAGCGAGCAGTGTATGAGTCTACATCACTTCCCTTCATTTCGTGATTCCACAGTTCTGATTCTAACTCTAGATCTCACTCCTCGGACAGTACTCTTCCTTGAGTAATTTCTTGAATTCTTCCCACGTAAGTCTGTTGGTTGATTCCCGACCTCGAGTTTGTATCTGGGTATTCCACCACGTCAATGCCCGTCCTTGCAGTAAACAGGCTGCAAACTCCACTTTGCTCCCTTCAGCACATTTACTGATATGAAGGACGGACTCTATTCCTTCAATCCAAGTAAGTAATCCCACGGCTCCTTCGGTCCCATGAAAGTCTTTTGGGTTGCAAGCTCTAAAGCCTTTATATGTGCAGTCTCTATTTGCTGTTGTACCTTGGTTTTTTGCTTGGTTAGCGTTCAAGCCTACTGCTACTTGGCTAACTATATTAGAAAGGGCCGCTAGAATTTGCTCGGACACAAGTCTCGCAATTTTGGGATCTTCTCTTCTTGGAGGCATATTTCTAACGCACAAATTTTAAATCAAAGTCCGGTTATTTTTATTGTTTTTCACTGTATCTACTTTATTGAATTATGCACAACATAATTCAATCACATAAACATGCATCCATGGCAATATATAATAACTTGTATTAATAAAAGCATTTAATCATTAATCAACATAATTCAACTAAAATAAAAACCCATATCAACCATAAAGAAAATAAAGACGTGCAACAAAAAGAAAGATATTGTTCACAAGTCACGGCTACATGCCCCAAAAGAAGATTCTAAGTTTGATCTATCAAAAGCTTAATAAAATAGAGTCTTCTAGAGCATTAGACTCCAAACAAGTAGTCCCATCACTATCACCAAAACTCCCGCTAACAATGCCAAGTAGGTATATAACCTCCTAATCGCTCCCCTAGCGGTGTTAATCAACTCCAACGAACGATCCGTCACATTGTCTTGTGTGCCTAGGGCCATAATCACCCCGTCGGCAATGTGTCGATGATGATCCAACCTAAGTTTACACATCTTTAGGTCTTGGGTGATGCCCAAAACCCATAGGTTCTCTAAGGTGGTCATGCCCAGAGAGCACTTCGACGTGGTCCTGGTAGTAGGTGGGGGCGTCACACTACGGGTTCACGACTGGGATGACTCCCTCCCAACTCCGGAAGGGGCGGAGAAAGACACCCTTATGGGTGGAGGAATGCTCTTTCGGGCGGTGGCCCGAACTCTAATTGCATGTGCCGCTAATGGTGCGTGGGCATAGGGCGGAGCGGCACGGGGGTAGGTGATCGCGCCGGGGACTCGGCGACATCGTCATCACTATCATAACTATGCTCGGAGGGGTCGTACTCTTCGGAGTTCAAATATTCATTAATTGACGACATTGTGCTGCGATATTTAACAAAATTTAAATAATTGAACGAATCATAATAAATATCAAAAACATGCAATGTTTATGCAAACCCAAACATGCAAATCGTGCTTTTCTTATTTGAGTAAGAAGTTCTTAACTTTAGACAAACACCTAACATAACTGGTCCGCGTCTCTCCTTATACATGCTTAATTAGACATAGGTGACCAGGCTCTGTCTAATTAGAGTATGCTAAGAAGGCACTCATTCTAGTTATATTAGAGCATGTTTTCATACGAGTTAATAAGTAGTGTAACCAATGGGACTTTTTAATTAACCCAAACACAA